CAATGGGTGGTGGCAAAAGCAAAAGACCAATAATTGTTAGTTATGAAGGTAATCAGTTAAAAAAGCTGTAGCAAAGACCAATGGTGTTAGTTGGCAGGGGCCAATGGTGTTAAGCTGTAGCAAAAGGGGCCAATAAGTGTTAAGCTGTAGCAAAGGGCCAATATGGTGTTAGTTGTGAGACCAATAGTGTTAAGCAAACGAAGAGGCCAATGGTGTTAGCTGAAGCAAGGGGCAATAGTCTTAGCTGAAGCAAAGGGCCAATGGTGTTAGTTATGTGAAGACCAATGGTGTTAGCTGTAACGAGGGCCAATAATTATTTAGTTGTAGCCAAGGGGCCAATGAATGTTAAGTTACATGGCCCGAGGGCCAATGGGTGTTAGCTGTAGCAAAGACCAATGTGGTGTTAGCTGTAGCAAGGGGAGCCAATAAGGTCGTGTGGATTATGTGAGAATAATGGTGTTAGCTGTAACAAGGGGCCAATGGTGTTAACTGTAGCAAAGGGCCAATGGTGTGAAAAGATTGTGAGGGCCAATAGTATTAGCACAGCAAGAGACCAATGTGGGTATTAGTTATGGCAGGGTAATAGTGGCATAGCAAAGGGGCCAATGGTGTTAGCTGAAGCGAGAATAATGGTGTTAGTTACTGTGAGGGCCAATGGTGTTAAGCTGTAACAAAGACCAATAGTGTTAAGCAAATGAGGGCCAATGGTGTTAGTTAGCAAGGGCCAATGGTGGCTAGCTAACAAGCAAAGGGCCAATGGTGTTAAGCTCAGCGAGGGCCAATAGTGTTAGCTGTAACAAAAGAGACCCAATGGTGTTAGCTGTAGCAAGAGACCAATAAGGTGTTAGCTGAAGCGAGAGTAATGGTGTTGATTGTGTGAGGGCAATGGTGTTAGCTGTGGCAGAGAACCCAATAGTGTTAAGCTGTATGTAAAGGGGCCAATGGTGTTGGATTGTAGCGAGGGCCAATGGTGTTAATGTAGCAAGGGCCAATGGTGTTAGCTGAAGCGAGAGACCAATGGTGTTAGCTGAAGCAAGGGGACAATGGTGTAAGCTGAAGCAAAGAATAATGGTGTTAGTTGTGTGAGGGCCAATGGTGCAAGCACTGTAGCAAGGCCAATAGTGTTAGCTGTAGCAAAGGGCCAATAATTGTTAATTCATGTGAGGCCAATAGATTTGTTTTAAAGGGCCAATGGTGGATTGTGAGGGCCAATGGGTGTTAGCTGTAAGGGGCCAATAGTGTTAGCTGAAGCGAGGGCCAGTGAACATTAGCTGAAGCAAAGAGACCAATGGTGTAGCTAAACGAGAGACCCAATAGTGTGGATTATGTGAGGGGCAATGAGGTGTTAGCTGTAGCAAGGAGGGCCAATGGTCAGTGGATTGTGGCAGGGCCAATGAGGTGTTAGCTGTAACAAAGGGCCAATGGTGTTAAGCTATGTAAAGGCCAATAGTGTTAGCTAGAAGCGAGAATGATGGTGTAAGCTGAAGCAAGGGGCCAATGGTGTTAACTGTAACCAAGGGCCAATGGTGTGGCCTGAAGCAGGGGCCAGTGGTGAAAAAGCTGGAAGCGAGGGGCCAGTGGTGTTAGCTGGGCAGGGCCAATGGTGTTAGCTGAGCTGAGGCCAGTGGTGTTGAAAGCTGAAGCGAGGGGCAATTGTGTTAGCTGAAGCAGGGGCCAATGGTGTTAGCTGATGAGGGCCAATGGTGTTGGCAGAACAGTGGTGTGGCTGAGCAGGGGCAGGTGGTGAAAGCAAACCCGAGGGCCAATGGTGTTGGCTGTAGCCAGGGGCCAGCAGGGTGTTGGCTGAAGCGAGAGACCCAGCTGAGCTGAAGCGAGGGGGCAATGGTGTGCTGAAGCGAGGGGCCCAGTGGTGTTGAAAACAGGCAGGGAGACCAATGGTGTTAGCTAACAAAAGGAGCCAATGAATAATTGTTAAGCTGAAGCCGAGGGGCCAATGGGTGTTAGCAGCTGGAAGCGAGGGGCCAGTGGTGTTAGCTGGGCGAGGGGCCAGTGGTGTGGCTGAAGCGAGGGCCAGTGGTGTTAGCTGAAGCGAGGGCCAGTGGTGTTAGCTGAAGCGAGGTGGCCAGTGGTGTTAGCTGAGCGGGGCCAGTGGTGTTAGCTGAAGCAAGGGGGCCAATGGTGTTAGCTGTAGCAAGGGCCAATGGTGTTAAGCTGAAGCGAGGGGCCAATGGTGTTAGCTGAAGCGAGGGGCCAGTGGTGTTAGCTGAAGCGAGGGCCAGTGGTGTTAGCTGAAGCGAGGGCCAGTGGTGTTAAGCTGAAGCGAGGGCCAGTGGTGTTAGTTGTAGCAAGGGCCAATGGAAGGTGTTAGCTGTAACAAGGGGCCAATGGGTGTTAGCTGAAGCAGGGGCCAATGGTGTTAGCTGAAGCGAGGGCCAGTGGTGTTAAGCTGAAGCGAGTGGCCAGTGGTGTTGGCTGGGCAGGGGCCAATGGTGTTAGCTGTAGCGAGGGCCAGTGGTGTTAGCTGAAGCAGGGGCCAGTGGTGTGCCTGAAGCGAGGCCAGTGGTGTTAGCTGAAGCGAGGGCCAGCCGTGAGTGTTAGCTGAAGCGAGGCCAGTGGTGTTAGCTGAAGCGAGGGCCAGTGGTGTTAGCTGAAGCCGAGGGCCAGTGGTGTTAGCTGAGCCAAGGAGGCCAGTGGTGTTAAGCTAAGAAGCAAGGGCCAGTGGTGTGCCTTCAAGCAAGGCCAGTGTGGTATTGGCTAGAAGCAGTAGCCAGTGGTGTTAGCTGAAACAGGCCAGTGTGTTAGCTGAAGCAAGGGCCGTGGTGGTAGCTATAGCAAAGGGGTAATGGTGTTAGCTGAAGCAGGGCCAATGGTGTTGGCTGAAGCGAGGGCAATGGTGTGCGCTGAAGCGAGGAGCAGTGTGGCCTGAAGCGAGGGGCAATTGTGTTGAAAGCAAACAAAGGGGCAATGGTGTTAGCTGTAGCGAGGGGCCAATTTTATTAGCTTAAGGGTATGGGACCAACTCTAGTAATTGTGGGACCAATCGTATTATATTTAAACTGTGGCTAACACTTTAACTTTAACCCCAACACTATTCACTGTAACTAACACTATTAACTGTAGCTAACACTATTAACTGTAGCCCCAACACTGTGCTGTAGCCCCAACACACTAGCAACTGGCCCCAACACTATGCTGAGCCCCAGTTATACTAGCCCCAACACTATACTTTAACCCGTCTACCATATCTCACTGCAGCTTTCACATGTAACACTTGTCATGACAACACTCTCGTCTCAAAGTATTATTAATTATGGACAGACCCAGTTAAATTACATTAATTAAGGACAGACCCCAGTTAAAGTACATACCACTATGACAGACCCCAGTTAAAGTGCATCAATTAAGGACAGACCGTTAAAAGTACATCAATTGGTTACAGACCCCAGTTAAAGTACATTAATTATGACAGACCCCAGTTAAAGTACAATAATTAATGACAGACCCCAGCTAAAGCACATCAATTAAGGACAGACCCCAGTTAGCATACCATTATGACAGACCCCACAAAGCTAAAGTACATCAATTAAGGACAGACCCCAGTTAAAGTACATTAATTAAGGACAGACCCCAGTTAAAGTACATTAATTAAGGACAGACCCCAGTTAAAGTACATTAATTAAGGACAGACCCCAGTTAAAGTACATCAATTAAGGACAGACCCTAGTTAAAGTACATTAATTAAGGACAGACCCCAGTTAAAGTACATTAATTAAGGACATCATTAAACCAGAAAAATTTACTAAACATGAAAATAACGAAAATGCAAATAAAGAAGATTAAATACATAATAATCTTCTTCTTTCTTTTATCTGTGACAGAGTGTATGAAAGAATGAAGTAAATGAGGTGAAATAATGAATGATTATTAACTTGGTGGAATTAAATATATGAAGAAAAAAGATATTACAGTATGAATGGAGATAGTGATTGTGGAGAGTAAAAAGATTAACTCTCTCTCTCTCTCTCTCTCTCTCTCTCTCTCTCTCTCTCTCTCTCTCTCTCTCTCTCTCTCTCTCTCTCGCTCTCTCTCTCTCTCTCCAGAACTGAACTATAAAAATCGACCTCCTTGCAGTCAGCCAAACGCATCTAATGATATTTCAGATAATCCTATTGTGCCGGATCTTTAGCGCGTGACCTAGTTGTCAGACAGGTAAAGGGAGATGACCTGACTGCCTAATTAACCCTCTCCTCCCTCCCCTTCCTTCCTTCTACCCCCCACTACACCCCTTCCTCCTCTTTCCTTCCCTTACCTCTCTCTCCTCTTCCCTTCTTCTCATGGGAGGATCCCTCCTCTCTCTCTCTCTCTCTCTCTCTCTCTCTCTCCTCTCTCTCTCTCTCTCTCTCTCTCTCTCTCTCTCTCTCTCTCTCTCTGTCTTTTGTCTCTCTTACACACACACACACACACACACACACACACACACACACACACACACACACACACACACACACACACTCACCCTCCTTGAAGTAGTAAGTACCGTTGGGGTGGTGAAGAACATCATACGCCGTGGGTCCCGTCCTGGCCAGCCTACACTCCACGTCATCATCATCGTCATCATCGAAGGCTACACTACTCAAGTCATCGTCATCATCGAAGGCTACACTACTCAAGTCATCGTCGTCATCGTCATCCAACACCACGGCTGACCACGCTACACAGGACACCCGAGCCATACACATCCTTCTACACAAACCTACACCAGGATACACTTAGATTATATACACTTAAACAAAACACACTTAAATTATATACATCTACATACACTTATATATGAATACACTTAAATTATATACTTATACACACACTTAAACATGGACCAGTGATATAATAATTATTGAATGCACACCACAAACTCTCTCTCTCTCTCTCTCTCTCTCTCTCTCTCTCTCTCTCACATGTGTTCTTGGCCGCCAGGATCCAGTCAGCAGCTACAGGTGAGATAGTTAAGCCCGGAGCTACGAAGAAACTCTCTGTAGATGATTTGATGTAGTGAAGACGCTGTTCCTCCTCTATAGTGGCGCCAGGACCAGCCACCATCACCATCACCATCACCACCATCACTATCACCATCTTCCTGGATCTCTCTGAGGGGTTAAAGAGGGGAATTATTGCGTCATATTATAATCATGATCATTGTGTTATTATCGTCATTATCATCATCATTATATTCATCATTGTCATCATCATCGTCATCATCATTACCATAGACACAATTACCGTCACCATTAATATACATTTACTTTTTTTCGAGAACGTGTAACCAATTTAGTGTTAATCACCAGTTAAGAGTAATTACAGTGACTAACTACCTGAACTCACACTAACGACCGCACTTAGGTTGTTAGAGGAACTCATTGTTGTAACTGCGAGGTCACAGTGATGTCCGGATGTAATTTAGATGTTAAGTGTCCTTATGTGTGTGTGTCCTGACATACATACACACATACATACATACATACATACATACATACATACACATTATATGGACTTACGGAGAGACGGTGAGTGTGTGTGTCCTCCACCGTGGGTGATGACGAACTGACTGACCTTGATCACAGTGACTCAGTTTAAAGTTAGGTTTGCGCATGCGCTGTGGGAGGTAAATATGTAAGTACACACACACACGTACACACGCACAGAGACAGAGAGAGAGAGAGAGAGAGAGAGAGAGAGAACATACCACTAATGTACACCTCAGCAACTTACCTGTGTACACCTTAATAATCACACTCAATCACCTGTCTGGAGTATAGATTAGATTCTTATTCGGTCTTTAAAAGGTTATCGTTCACCTGGGCCATATACCTGTACTTCCTCACTGTCACGTGTCATGTGTAGAGGCTGGGTGACACATTCCCTCACGTGTCATGTGTAGAGGCTGGGTGACACATTCCCTCACGTGTTATATGTAGAGGCTGGGTGACACATTCCCTCACGTGTCATGTGTAGAGGCTGGGTGACACATTCCCTCACGTGTCATGTGTAGAGGCTGGGTGACACATTCCCTCACGTGTTATATGTAGAGGCTGGGTGACACATTCCCTCACGTGTCATGTGTCCCTGTGGTTGCGGGAGGTGACACTGAGAGAAACTACAAAGTAAACAAACAACAAACAAGCAACAAACAAGTCACATATCGTCCTACAGCTTAATATTAAAATCACTCAACCAATTTATATCTTTTTCCGTACAATATATTTTTTACTCCATTCACTCGCCATCTAAGATTACTCGCCACCTCTATTCACTCGCCATCTCCATTTATTCGCCACCTTCATTTACTCGCCACCTTCGTTTACTCGCCACCTCCGTTTACTCGCCACCTCCATTCACTCGCCACCTCAGTTCACTCGCCACCTCAGTTCACTCGCCACTCCAATTTACTCGCCACTTCAGCCATGACATGAAAGATGGCGATCATTTTCCCTTCAATACGATATAAAAAAGGTAAAATATCGCCCCTATTAAAATTACTACTTATTTTCATACTTGTGGCTTTCTAGATTAACTTAGACACATATTTACCAAACGACTCAGAAATTACCTGATCGATGGCGTTCAAACACCATTTAATAGGTTCCAAACACGTGAAAACATTTTAGTACCTGTGTTGATCTTTTTATTATTATTATTATTGAGTTTTTTTACACATAAAGAACCTGAAGTTTGTTTGGTTAGGTTTTGGTTAGGTTTGGTTAGGTTTTGGTTAGGTTTGGTTAGGTTTTGGTTAGGTTTTGGTTTAGGTTTGGTTAGGTTTTGGTTAGGTTTTGGTTAGGTTTTGGTTAGGTTTGGTTAGGTTAGGTTAGGAGGGGTGAAAACAACCCTACCTTAACAGTATTTTCTCGGGGATCCACTTAAGCAGAGTGACTTTCTTCACCCTCCTCCTGGGAAACGCAACCTCATACCTCACCTCTGATAGATCGTCCTGGAAATAAAAAAACAAAAAAAATCATATTAAGCTGTAAATCATGATCAAAGGAAGAAGGAGGAATTAATATGGGTTTTGAGCATGTCCCTATCCAGTAATAGATCGTCCTGGGGGGAAAAGTAAGTCCCTATCCAGTAATAGATCGTCCTGGGAGGAAAAGTAAGTCCCTATCCAATAATAGATCGTCCTGGGAAAAAAATTATATTAAGGTGCAAATTATGACTGGAGGGAGATGGGAATTAATATGGGGTTGACTCCTTTATTACGAGGGATTAAGTCATCGTACTCAGGGGATTAAATCGTCGTACTCAAGGGGGTTAAGTTGTCGTAATCAGGGGGTTTAATTATCGTACTCAAGGGTTTAAGGCATGATAATCAAGAACGTTAGGTTAGGTTCGATTAAGTTAAGTTACAGTAGATCAAGGATAGGTTAGCCACATAGTATTATACACAAATAGAGCCAAAGCATAAAAAATAGCAGAATAACAAATTAAAAAACCTAAATAACATATAAATAGTCTCTATAAAATAGCTCCCCAAATAGCCCCCCAAAATAATAGCCTCTAAAAAAATAGCCCCCCAAAATAGCCCTCTCAAAAAATAGCCTCAAATAGTCACTCAAAATAAACACAAGCTACCTCCATTAAGGCCTGCTGGTACACGTAAATACGGTGGACGAGGTTCGACTCCCCGTTCAATGACAGAGTAAACATTGATGAACAGGAATAAATATGATCCACTTACACATCAATCAATGGTGACCTCCACTGTCCCAACCTTCTCTCAACCAGCGTCATCAATCACAGGGAGAGAGAGAGGGAGAGAGAGAGAGGGAGGGAGGAAGAGAGAGAGGGGGGGTGGAGGAAGAGGGGTTGGGGGGAGAGAAAGAAAGAGAGAGACGGGGTGGAGGAGAGAGAAAGAAAGAGAGGAAATGGGGTGGAGAGAGAGAGAGAGAGAGAGAGAGAGAGAACACTTAAAGAGAGAACTATTCATCACAACATAATACGGAAACGAATGAAGCTTGACAATAGAACACCGAGTCGCTGCCGTTCTCAGAAATCCAAAGCACAAAATCCGGATTACTTAACGAGAACGCACACAAAGGCGGTTCTTGGCTATATACCTTTCATGATAACGACACTCACTATATATATATATCGCTAATGACTATATACTTTACTCGTCTTTGTGTTCATTCGTATTCGTAAAAAAAATATCGTAAAATGAATCATTACTTACAGGGAATAACTGACTGAACTGATGGATATATTAGTGTTTAGGACGGAGGGAGTTTGGGGTCATTTGGGGATTTAGAGCGAGGGAGGGGGGGGTTAGGGGGGCTTTCTCTAGATAGATAGATAGAGATAGATAGATAGATAGACCTTATAAAGGGAGATGAAGGACCTGATCTTACGGAAGGACGTACAGGGAGGGAGGGAGGGAAGAGGATCAAAGGACCCCAGAGAGATGTCCTATAGAGCTTGATATCCTGCGTGGGGTATAAGGGAGCATAAGGGAGTATAAGGGAGCATAAGGAGGTATAAGGGAGTATAAGGGGGTATAAGTGACGGCCATGTTATCTCGTGTCCTCGGAATGTCTCGTCTGGTCAAGGTGTGTGTGTGTGTGTGTGTGTGTGTAGGTGGGGGTCCGTCTGGTGTGTGTGTGTGTTTTGATGGACGTATTTTTTTTACCAGTTACCAATAAAATAATTTATAATATACTAAGATAATAAACAATAAAAAATAATTGTCTACTGTATAATTCAGTGATTAATTTTGAGAGAATAAATATATTTTATTCGTGTTAATAAAATATTCCAGAAATAATTAGTTATATCAAAGACTTCTATAAGGGAACAAAGGTACTAATATGAAAATAATTATCAACACTTTTGGCCTGAGGTGATGAACTGTCTGTCTGTCTGTCAGTCTGTCCGTCTGTCGTCCGTCTGTCTGCCTGTTAAAGTCTCTCTCTGTCCCTCTCTCTCTCTCTTCCTACCCCTCTCCCTCCCACCTATAATATATCGACCCACTCCTACTCTCCCCCCCCCTCCTCTCACCTGTCCTCCCCCTCTTAACTCCCCTCTCCTATATTCCCCTCCCATCCATCCTCCCCTCCCCTCTGAACCTTCCCATAACCATTTCATTGGCCTTTCCTTGTCCCTCTCTCCCTTTGTAATCCCTACGATAACACCTTCCTACTCTCTCTCTCTCTCTCTGTCTCCTTCCCTCCCTCTCTCCCTACCTCTGCTCCCTTCCACCACCCTCCTCTCATCTCTCACCTCTCCACTCCCTCTCCTCACTCCCTCATTTTCCTCTCTCTCACCCTTCCCTCACCGTTCGGGGCCGATCTACAAGTTATTGACAGCTGGTTCAAAAGACTTAAGATGGAGGGTTTCCCTCGAGTACCTACTAAAAGGCTACTTGATGACCACAGAGAGAGAGAGAGAGAGAGAGAAGACCGCTTGTCACCTCTAAGTTGACCTTTACTCTCACACGATACAAAAAACATGTTGACGAGCTAGGTGCTTGTGAGCTGCCCAGTAAGTCAGAAGAGAGAGAGAGAGAGAGAGAGAGAGAGTTAATCTTGTCAGTGTAGCAACTCTCTCTCTAAGGACTTTGGTCTTACGTAAAACACTGGTATAACTTTTAATAGTATACACACAATATATACAGGGCAGCCAGAGTATATACACATATATCAAGTACTCGGTATATGTGGTCTATACGGTCTATGTATAGTAAGTATTGGGTATATTTGGTATTTATTGGATATTAACGAGTGAAAAAATTAATATATGTACATAATGATGACAAGACGTATAGGGAAAAATGGGGGGAAATTTTATGTATTTTTTCCCCTAAACAGTGAAGATAGGGGAGGAATTTATCCAAGTCAGTGTAGAGAAATATAATTTTTTATGTACAGGGAAAAAACGATGAAATATGAGATTTTTTTTCATCAGTAAAGGTAGAAAAATTTATTATATATTCAATGTCGAGGAAGGTAATGTTAGGTAGACTTATACAGGTAAACTGAAGTGATTTATACAGGTGTTGAAGAGTAATTAGCACCTGTTCTGAACTCTCTCTCTCTCTCTCTCTCTCTCTCTCTCTCTCTCTCTCTCTCTCTCTCTCTCTCTCTCTCTCTCTCTCTCTACTTCACTAAAAGGTCACTGAGCCTGGAATTAAATATCTTATACACAATGACGTCTATTTTGACCTTTTAATGCCAAGACAGATGGTCAGACAAACGTAGATGCAGACAGAAGGACAGACAGACAGACAGACAGACACGCAAATGTATAGTGTTTATTCCACAATACATCAGGTGAATAGACAGATGGAGATAAAGACAGACAGACAGACAGACAGAGGTACTGACCCAGATATAGACAAATAGACAGAGAGACGGACACAGGGAAACAGATACAGGTGCAAACAGAGGTATAGACAGACAGACAGACAGACAGACAGACAGACAGACAGACAGACAGACAGACAGACATATCCTTACCACCACTACCTAAGGACAAGGTTAATAAATGTCTAGCAGCTCAGGTAAAAAATTATACGTTAATCAATATATGACC